GCGACATTTAATTTAAAAATTTAGGGACTTAATTTTTTCCATTTATAAAACGTATAAAAGAAAAGATCGTGAAAAAAAAATAATCGAAATATGGATTAAAATTATTTATCATTAAAGAAGAGAAATCAGTTATAAACACGAGCTTACAAATTTGCTGTTCGATACCCGGAAATTCGAGGACGACATTTCAATCGATTCGTATGCACGAAATGAAGAATGGTTATGGCCAGGTTTGCGATATACGACTAACGGAGAAGCACTTATTGGGTCCTACCAGATTAGAACACGCCGGTCGACGACCTCATCTTTATACGCGCTTGAAATCTGCGATAATTATTCAGCGAATTTCGAAAGTTAATAACGCCCGCAGAGATGATGACGCAGTAGAGAGACTCGCGGAATTCAGCTGCGAGTCATTTGCAAGTCATTTTGATAGTCGAAGTGTAAGAGTGAAAAGAAAGACAAAAAAATTTATAGTTCCTGTTTTGCAGCTAATACTTAGTCCAGATCACGGGGGGAAGTTCCTTTTATGGTAATCTTATTACATCGTTTCGCTGGAAGATTAAGATGATAAAACTGTATCTTGAGTCGTCCTGCGGAATTACAAAATATTAAGCGATAAGACCGATTAATATAATTGATAAATTTATAATGAGAGTTTCGTACTTTTAAAATTTTCTGAAAGGATATCTTGTAAGGAAATGACTAAAAATAGTGTAGCAATGATTTAAAGCTTGTAATTAAATTCATTATACTTCTTTTTCCTTATTTCTGTTGATTCATAAGATAAAGGCTCACTTAAGAGTTATATCTTTATAAATCTTAATGCAGAAAGTGCGATATATATTTAGAAAGAACAGTGTTTCAAGAAGAACAATGTAATTATTTCTAAGAAACTGATATGTTGTACATACGAATTGTCTAAACTGACAGAAGAAAACTTTTCGCACAAAATTAAAAGTACCGCAAGATAATTCACGCATAATACCATTTTGTGCAAATCTCTGAAGCGGATAATTATTGTAAGGAACTCGTATGCGCGAAATATATATATCATATGTCCCTTCTCCATCTCTCTCATTAGTTTTTAATTAATTTTTTATCCGTATGCGGGGAATAATATATATATATATATATATATATATATATATATATATAGAGAGAGAGAGAGAGAGAGAGAGAGAACAAACAATTTAAATGAATAATTATGTAATAAATAATAATTTAATTATTATTTAATAATCTTCCCTTTAATAATTATCTACTGTGAAGGTATAATTCACACATTCGCATATATTATATTATCGCATGTTGTATTAATCGAATTTACACAACATTTGAGAGCAAATTTACAAAAATGAAATTCTATCAACGTTTATTCTATGTTCTATATGTATTTTATTCTGAAGAAAATATTTAATGATTATTCCATAATGATCAAATTCAAATATTATTTTTTTAAATAATCGACAATGCACGATTTATTCTATGTTAAATTTAAAGATCATCGAATTGTGTGCCAGAATCGTCGGGAATCTGTACTTGAACGAAAATCTGATCGTACGCGATAGTGAGCTGTATTCGTGCATGTGCATATGCAACGCAGACGTATATCGATGCATTCGTGTGTCCATTCGTGAGTCCACGCGACTACAAAGTGTTACGTTTGTTGTATGGCGGTCGTGGTATGTGGGTCAAGTGGCCGGCGTTGCTAACAAGTGACTCGATTCGAGTCGATTCGTGAAGCGACACACACTGTTAGTTTTCGTTGCACCGAATTTCCAACTTTTCACAAATTTTATTTTACTACTCTTTGATTTAATATATCGATATCGTATAATTGCACTTCGTAAAAGTAATTGTAGAGACTGCCTTGTATTCCGTGATTAACGTAAAGATTTAGATTAATATTAATTTATCAGAGAAATTACACAATTAATTTAATGCGCATAAATATAGCGTAATCTATATTTTATTTTAGATGCGCCAAAAAATGACAGATTGGAATAATGTTAGATAATTCTATATTTCACAATAATATTTGTTGTAGCTATTCGAGTACCAAATAATTAGAAAACGCTAAATGGATATTGTTAATTTTTACATCAAATCGTGTATGTATCACACACTTAAATATTGAAAAATATAATTAAATATTTCAATTTTTTAATTTTTACATTTAATAGATCAAAATCGGATTTAAAGTATAATAAAAGAGAGAAGAATATTACAGTACAACTACTAGTGAATCATTATTTCTTTCAAAATTTTTTTTTAAATATTTGGAATAATGTAACGTATATGTTTAATATAATTTTATATGTGTTTAAGAATAATTATGTGAGTTACTGTTATAAATCTGTCTTTTTTTGTAAAAAAATATCTAAATATAATTATATTTGTTCTAAAATAAAGAGAAAGAGATATAATATATATTTTTAATATATATTATATTAATATATTTTTAATATATTTTTATAAAAAAAAGACAGATTTTTAACAGTAACTCACATAATTATTCTTAAACACATATAAAATTATATTAAACATATAATAATATATTAATATATATTATATTAATATTATGACATTAATATATATTATAGTAATAATATTATAACATTATATTAAATAAAATATACATTGCGTCTCTCGAGATTTCAACGCGTGATGTGCAACGTGGAGATTTGAATGCTTTTTCACGCACATTGCGTTCTCTGCATCGAATATGCAGCCGACGTTTTGATTTTCATTATGCGACCGAGCGATCGAATATCCGTTCCATCGCAAAATAGGTTCAAGTAAACAAGAATTACGCAGGATAATCGAAAATCACATTCAGTGCCTTGATGGAGCATGTCATAAAGCAGTCGGTCGTCATGAATGCGATGGATGTGATCGTATGATACGCGCATACGTACGCAATTTTGCTCGCCTGTTCACGCATTTCATTTCTAATTGAATAATCAATCGCGACCTCTTCTTGATCGAGTGACATGGAATGCGGCAGACGAAGCATACCTACGTATGTCCTTGCAAGAACCCGGTTAGCTCTTTTTGTATTCCTCGTTTGCATATTAAGAGATACTCAAAGATAAGATATCCTGCGCGAATAGAATTCGTTTGCAGATTTTGAAAATTATTTGTGCTCAATCTTCTCATTATCATTTCTAAAAGAGACATCTTTGAATTAAGATTATCTTCTATGGTGTAAAATTATATAAACATAGAATAGAAAGTGACCTTGAAGATATTTTTTTGCAATTTTTTAAAGGTTATCTATCGCGATTGCACATTAAAACTTGGATTCTAAGCACATGAAATACTCTTGATACATGCATGGACTCTATTAAATTTCATGGTTGCGTTAATCAGTACGTATGAGGTGCTCTATAAAGATACAATTATGGATGCTCTTCATTGTTAGCATCAAGAAACCATAATTAACTCGAACAAGGAAGCGCCGAGGGCTAACCGAGCTGGTTTAGGGTGACGCGGTTGGGTGCTTATCTTCCTAGTCCTTCTTTCTTAAACGCAGACATTATTTCTAGATTCTTTCTGACCGGAAAGAAAATGAAAGAAAATTATATATCATATCTAAACAAGAGGTTATAATTATATATATATATATATATATATATATATATATATAAGTATATACATATATAAGTATATACATAAAAAAAGAATGTCTTAAGAATAAAATTAAAAACGCTCGAATTAAAAATATATATAAAATTCCAACAAATATCTTACATAATTTTCACATAAGATTTGACATATGGAGATTGTCTTTTTACATAGTTTTGCAAGAAATATCTTTCTTGTTATTAATTTAATTTCATATTACGAAAAAGAAATTATTTAGGTACGATCTACAATTTACCCACTTATCCTTTCTGTAAAATTATGCATACGTTGTTCTTAACTCTTAGTACATTGTTACAAATTACCGTAGAATTTCCATGAATTTTCGCGATTGCATATACTTGCGGGAGCTCTATATATCTATTATTTTCTTTGAGACGCCTCGTTTTCATTTCTATAGTTTCATAGCTTTGCTCTGTGAATTTACAATTATATCCCACATGACAATTGTAGTTTCATGATTATCAATTATCGCGCAGAATAGAAACGCCAAGAATTATGTAAAAGCGTGAATTGGGGAAATTTGTACGTATATGTATTTGTTAGAATTAACTTTTATGTAAAACTTTGATATTCAACTCGTATTAGATGTTTTCGACATTTTATCATAATAACAACGCGTTACGCGATGCACGTAAATTGCGTGTAATATTCTTTCGTCATTTGTTGCAAAATTACCCCAACACTTTCTTATGATCTCCATAAATGTATAATTACGCGAACAATCGAATCTAATGTATTATATCTATCAGTATACACTAATTAGGTTAATTGCTGCTTGATCGTTTAAAAATAATTTATAATTTTAAAATGTGTCATATAATTAATTAAGAATTTTTAATTATATATTTAATATATAAATCAATACTTCCTATTTATAACAAGGCACTTTCTGGTTAATTAGAACATTTTAAAAATATGAAATCTTTCTTCCGTTTATATCATTGAATTATATAATTAAATCATATAATCTCTTCATAATTATATCAAAATATTTTATTTATTACATATAATTATGTTTCATCCTCTATATAATTTCTCTTTCGGAAAAATGATCAAAAATCAGTTTTTTTGATGAAACAGCTAAATCAGCTATCCCACAGGATAAGGCATGTTCTCGGTATTCGATGATTGGCACGCAGGTTGGCCTGAATTCCAGAAGAGAGGCAGGTAAAAAGGAGGAAGGATGGACAGTCAGTCGGCCGCACAAACCAGCCTCATTCCTGATAGCAACCGGCACAATGTTCGTTACCTGTCGTGGTGGTGGTAGCGAAGGAATAGCAGGTGGAGGGGGGAACAGAACACCTGGTCGACTTCCTGCCAGAGAGTAAGCGTCTCAGTCCTCAGGAAAGAACGTTCGACATCGGTACATTAATATAAGTCTCGAGAGTCACACCACGAGTTCTGACAGAAAGCGGAACTGCACAAGCACCGCTATTTTAACCCTGTTTGAAGGTACTTGAGAGATAGATTCGCACATGCGTTTCTCAAACTCGCGCTTCGAGCAAACATTCGCGTCCAGTGCTCGGAAGAAAACATAAAGAGGGTCGGCCCGTACCCTAAAATAATGTTTTTCTCGAAGTGCATTCGGTGAACTTCTCTTGCGGAACCGACAAAGTGCGATTGTTACGGACGTATAAATTAGATCTCGGAGTTATACCGGAATAGTTTCTTCATTTTTTTCGGAACGAAAGGACGTACAAGTTAAACATTGAAGTTCCATGCGGAAGCTCGCCAAGGAAATGGAACGCAAGACACTTTGCTTCCTTCTCATCGCTCTGTTTGCCAAAAGTGCGTAAATTTCTTTTTCAGCTCTAATTATCAGTTATCGAATTAAATACACACTATATATTAAATAATAATTATTATAAATAATAATTAAAATTTTCTAAAAATAATAATTATCAGAAGATATTCTTCTAAACATTCGATTTTCAAAGAACAAATAAAATATGTAAATTATACATTTTTGATTGTTAATTATATTTCTAAATGAATGTAATAAGTTGGTATTCATTGAATGCATTAATATATGTATTTACAGTCTATTATATATTATAATTGAAATTATTAATTAAACACCCATGATAATTCCACATAATATTACGTGCAAATAAATGAGTTCTTATATTCGCGTTGTATATGAAATAAAACGCGATATAAAATTAACTATTTTTATGATAGCTTCTAATCGAGTTTTTGTAACGGTTCGTTATGAATTTCTCTCAAAGAACATAATTGGATATTTTCTAAAGAACTTTAATATACTGGATAGACATTTTGTGCAAAAATGAATTAATCTCCCGTGAAAAATATAATGCCTCATTAATGTACTGGAGATTATTATAATCATTATTGCACTCCATTCACTTGTCGCTTTCTAAACGCCAAGAAATTTAATGAGTTGACTGATTATGAGACAATGCTTACAGTTCGTAACGACATTCTCTACTTTACGTATCATTGAAACTTTATTTTGTAGAACTTGCAACGAAACTGCCACTAATCAAGCACGCTTATGAATATAGCATAATCGAATGTGCTTGTTGTAAGTTAATTATAGGATTATCTAAATTAGCATCACATACAGCTTTCGAATTATATATTAATAAATTGTAACATTAACGTAAATATGAACAGATTTCTCATAAAATAAATAAAATTCTCTAGGAAAAAGATGGCTTACTTTATCATAACAATGTTATTGCATCATTAAAATAATAAAATTTTTCGAAACATGCATAAATTTAATGAAATATATTGTATACGAGATATTTCGTGAATATAATAAATGAACATATAATAATTTTTTGATACATATATAATGTCTCTTTCTCTGTAGAGTCTTTCTCTTTTCTATTTTCTCGGTAATTCACCTCGGGTCAAGATCATCCCACGCTCGCGGTATTATTGAACTTAATAATTATCAAAGCACACTCGATTACATATGCAATTTGCAGAGAAGTATCTGAAAATAAGCGAAGCTTATCCATCAATTAGTGCATGATGTATAATGCGTGTGCGTTACAATGCATTCATGAAAGGATATATCGTGCGATATATTCTTTTTTTATTCGATTTGAAAATTTCACATCGCGTGATGATAAATTGGATCTGCATCAAGCATTATTTAAATGATAATACAATTGATAGCTTCGAAAAAGTGTTTTCAATTAACGTTAAATAACTTTTCTTTTATAGGACCATTTTTATAAATATTATAATCTAATTATTTTATACTTCTAGAATTTTGCTACGTCTTCGCATAATTATTCTGCTAGATAATCCGCCTATAATTGTAATTTCTATCTCTGGTCTGGTTAAACGGGATAATCCTTCAACGTCGTCTTCGCTTTAACGAAGATACTAGACTCGTTCCGAGGAAGCGCGTGCTGACCATTAAACGCATAAATGCATATCTCGTAAATGAAACGCGGCATACTCATGCAACACGGGCTCTCATCTCCATCGTGCATGCATATAATCGACTTTCCACGAGCTTCGTTCGTTTTTCCACGGTGTGGAAAGTGATTGGCGAAGAGGCTTTATCGCGGCAACATGTAAGAAAAGTTCGCGAAAATTCATATGGTCGACTTACGAAGAAACCTCGTGAACTGGAAAATTCTGAGTTTGATGAAACTTTACATACATGTAGATGGAATAGATAAATTTAGAAATTTTTAGTTGTGGCTTGAAGATGATTATTCTAAGGGGTGAAATCTTATATGTAGAGCGATTCTTTGTCTGTATGAATAAATCTTGAAAATTATTCAAGATATCAAAAATACCTTAAAAATATCCAAAAATGTTTTATTCAAAAATTCCATGATAAGAATATTTCTGTTTAACCACATTAATAAAATATTTTTTTCAAAGATTTTGAAAAATCTTTTTCAAAAATTATTTTTTTAAGATTAATGTGTTTAAATAGAGGTATTTTTGTCTAAAACATTTTCGGTAAAACTTTTATCTAAAACATTTTCGGAAAAAGCAAAAAGTTCTACATATGAGGGATAATTCCACCTCTTAAAATCGAAGTTTTGAGTCACAAATGAAAATTTTTAAATGCATCCATTTACTCTTCCTACTTGTGTGTAAAGTTTCATGAAAATTAGAATTTTCCAGTTCGCGAGGTTCCCTTGTTAGTATCATCACTACCGTAAAGAAAGTATTTACTCGCATGTTTACACGTTGTTGAAATGTAAAAAACTTATTAGAATAACGTGAAATACATTTCGCGAAACCCAATACAGATATTTTTATATGTCCCTATATAATTTAACAGTATCGGCAATTTTATCGAATATGTTTTACATATCGAATTAATATTCGAAAATATTTTATTAGTAAACTTTAATATCTTACTAGTAAATACGGTATTGATATTTTTTATTACTTTTCATCAATAATTATTGATTTAGCAGCATAATATAATTTCTTGAATACAACAACTTTAGAAGGCTGGATTACCAGTCTTAGATCTAAGAAGCTTGTCGGGAGATACGCAAAGGAAAGATTCCCGTCTCATCGTTACTCGACTTTACATTTTATTTTAATAGTACATACGAAGTTACTTCTTCCGTACAAGTTGGGTTAACGACCGAGATTGTATCTCGCGGTAAATGGTGGTTACTTGCATTTCCCACATGTCGCCGTGTGCATCATTTTTTTTTTCTTCTGTACACTCTTCAAACACTTCCCTTAACTGCACATTTCTCAAGCTAGCTTCTTCCAAGCTGTGTCGTTGAGTCATATTCAGTTATTGTCCTCTTGAATATACATATATGAGCGGTTTCCTGTTGAAACTATAAAAGATCGATAGTAACGTCATCGTTAAATCGATCGGTGTCAAGTATTAACTGGGACGCGAGCAGATTTTATTATTACTCATTACTTTGTCGAGTTAGTCGTTCATCGATTATTCATTATTTGATCAGATATCTTATTTCAATCAATTATAAATTAAAAATGTTCACACATGAATTTATTACAAATTAAATCGTAATCTTTATTTTGGAAATTCGTATGATATTATAAACATGATATTAATCTTATTATCAATTGCATTCCAATTTATGATATAATTATAATATCATTAGAATTAGATTTATTACGTAAAACAATTTGCAACTATTACATTGATTTATCAATCACGGGATTAATAGAAGTGTTGGTTGTGTTAAATTATGATTTTTGAAAATTTAATCAACTTACTTTTTTACTCATTACTTATCATAATTACAGAACGATATAATCAACTTTTGACTTTCAATCATCGACAGCTAACTTTCGCGATAAGTGTATTCATTTCCGTTATATTGTAGGATTAGTTGCTATTCCGCGTATGTGTTGATTCACACATCGGCATGCCTTGAAAACAAAAGGTTGGCTGTTTAATTAGCTTGGCTCAGTACCCAATTTCCCACAATTCCGTGAAATAACGGGAATATCAGGCGAATGAACAGGAAAAAGAAGGCGAGTCTATACATTTCTCTCCTACTTTTGCCCTGATTATCCACTTTTCTTACGGCGTGGGCGAAACTCCGAACATTGAAATCACATGTTGTACTACATACAGATAAAATCCGATGAGTGCAAGTTAGTAGAATCTATGACGGAGAAAAAGAAGTTTAGTCACAATCAAAGGAAAAATATTTATATATTGTATATATACATAAAAAAGAATTTTTATTTTATCTTATAATTCTTTTATTGTGTAATTCTAAATTACTACAGCTAAAACTGAATCTCTCTATAAATGATCTTTTATAATAAATTTGACAAATTTTATAATTTAAAATACTTTATAATAGATCGCATTATCTATATGTATTGTAACTCAATAATTTTAATTTATTGATGTTATATATTTTTTACATTATATATAATAATTGAATTAATATATTATCTCAATTATTATAATCATAAATAAAAATTAAAACACGCTATTTATTTATTCATCGGAATCAAAATTTGTTTATAATAACATTATGCAATTTTAAATTTAATTTCAAATTAAATTTTTTATTACAGAAACAGTTATATTTAAAAAATATTCATGCAAATTAATTTATAATATAATTATATATTTAAATCGAAAAATAATGAAATAATTATTTGAACAGTTATATTTAAAAAATGAAAAAGTTATATTTAAAAAAATGAAACAGTTATATTTAAAAAATATTTATGCAAATTAATTTATAATATAATTATATATTTAAATCGAAAAATAATGAAATAATTATTTCATGATTATTCAAATGTTTTAATTTTGTATATATATTATTAAAATGTTTCAATTTCTCATATATTAAAAGATTTATAATTGTGCGTTTTCTTTATAATCATGTAAGGTTTTAGGTAAATAGCACAAAATTTGAAAGTAATATCAGTAATTTATTATGTGTATTTGTCACGGTAGTGAGATAAGATGATAGACATAGGTATGACAATCGTTTTAGGGTAACGGTGAAATAGCAGTGACCTGATATTTACACCGGAATAATTTTTATCCTTTCCATGCGATTTTTCGACGCGTTGTCTCCATTCTATTGTCCTACATAGGCTAATTTACCCAAGGCACGTACTACTTAACATCGTATTTTGAATAAGATATATTGAAACATTTAAAAGATTTTATTTTAAAAACTTTGACTTTATTTAAAAGATTTTATTTTTTTTTATGAAAAAGTTAAAGTAATTAAGCAAGAATATTTATAAACTATAATGAATATGTCTTCATAAATTAGAGTAAAAAATAAATTAAATTAATGAATTGAAAAGAATGT